CATGGTGTAAGAATAGACAGGTGGGCCGAAGGCCCGCCTCTATCGAGTCCAATTTGTGTCGCAGTACATCTAAAATCCGCTAGGTGGTTTCGAGTAGTAGAGGCAGTTTTTATAATGGTCAGTATGACTATAAAAAAAAAAAAAAGAAAAAAGAAAAAAAAAATTTTCATACTATCAATGGCCTGCACGACACGGATCCCTCTGGTGGCTAGTATCGGTACTGCGACAAAATTTGAACTTTTTTTACAATGCGTTGAGGTACTTGAGGTAGGCCTTCGGCCCACCTGTCTATTCTTACACCATGCTTGGAACTCATGGGAGTGGGACCAGCTGTATATTTTACACCGTGGGTGTAAGCAGTGACGGCCTAACTGTCAAAAGTCATCAGTCAACGACAAACAACGAAAAATGTGATCATACTTGGTATTCGGAAGAATAATAATCCAAAAAATATGAGTACAAATTTCAAACGAAGGCCAGTTGAATCGTTGCTTGACATTACCAACCACCGTTTTGAGCTTCTAACCTTGTTTCACTACTTCTACTTGTTGCGGTGCCCTATTTTACAGAATATTTTATTCTAGATATTAAATAATGGGACTTATAGAATTTTCAATTGAAAATAACTTAGTTTTGAAGTACTGTGTAGCGTACAATATATGATTCGCCCTTAGGTATAATGTCATGTAATACCTCATAAAAATTATTATTAGTGATTTGCAAACTTCAATGGTAATTATTGGTCGAAAATGTAATATGTACTATTAAATTTATATTAAATTTTAATGGAAACAAGTTATGTCTACATATTTATTTTAAGATTTCTTTGGACATGGATGTTCATATTTTATGTGAATGACAAAAGTTGCAACCAATAATATTTTTACCACTGAAAAAGCATTTTTTACTTCAGCTGTTGCTAGTATGTCTTGCAATACAATAATGACTTCAAGGTTTGTAATTACATGATTGAATTATTCTTCCCTACGAACTCTATACTATAGTAATTTTGTATTTCAGATTAGATAGACTTTTTATTTTATTGGAAACTGGAGCTAATGCAGCAACTAAGCGTGCTGCAGCTCAACAATTAGGAGAAGTGCAAAGCTTACATCCACATGAACTACACCATCTCTTAGCTCGAGTCTCAATATTACTTAAATCTCCTCAATGGGATACAAGAATAGCAGCAGCACATGCAATTCAAGCAATTGTATCGAAAGTTCCGATATGGAATCCAGAACCAGTAGATAAAATGCTAACTCAAGGTATTTAAATTTAACAATATACAAGTTTTAGTGAAACACTTATCACATTTATACATTAATATTAAATGTATAGACTTTCATTGGTAATTTAATTTATACATACTAATAACTGAAATTTGCTTCTTTATTTCAACAGATATAGACGGACAATTGAAAGTAACAGAAAATGACGTATCAGTGGACAAGGCAGATAATGAATTAATAGAAGAAAGTAAAGTAGAAGGGAGATATTTATATCCAAACAAAATTTTAACAACGAAATTAAATTTTCTTAATTTTGATGTTTCTCAAGTTTTACTATGTAGCTCTTATTTAACTGCATCACAAGGCAATGAATATGACCTTTCCACTGAAAATGAAAATATTTCCACAGATAGTAAAATCTTTTCTGTTTCTTCATTGTCACATCCTTATACATTGAAAGTTAATTCTAATAGCTTAAATTTTTTAGATAACACAGATGCAGTAATATCATCTCCTAATTTACTCCAAGTAAATTCTGATAATCTGTTAGTTGAAGAAGTAATGAAACAAAGTTCTAGATTAAGTAGAAGAGAAATGAATCGAGCTCGAAGAAAAGCTAGATCAAAACAGCAATGCCCAAGAGAACCTGATTATGATATAGATAAAGAAGTATTTAATCAAGGAGTTGACATGTCAAAAACATTTAAAAAAAAAATTAGGTTAGATAACCACAATACGAAACAATCCTGGTATGATTTTACTAGTGACATGGTAACTGATCCAAGATGTGCTGTTCCCGATGCAACTGGTTGTTGGCCAGATTCGGCAGTTCACTGGCCTCTCGAAGCGTTTGCTGAAAACTTACTTTATGACATATTCAGTTTCAAATGGGAAGTTAGACATGGAGCAGCAACTGCATTTAGAGAATTGATAAAACTTCATGGTCAAGGTACATTTTATAAAAATATTTAAACTTAATTTAATTTCTCTTGTCGTTGTTATTATATCATTATATACGTTCCTATGTTAGCCATTACTTAATCTAAATTGAAACGATTTTCTAATTTATGTTAGTTCAATTATGTTCCTCTTACTTATTATTATACTTTGTAGGAGCAGGCAAATCAAAAAAACAAACTCGTGATGAAATGAATCAAGCACATGAAGGCTGGTTGATTGATTCTGCTCTTCGACTAGTATATGTTTTAGCCATTGATCGCTTTAGTGACTTTATTTCTGATCAAGTTGTTGCTCCAGTTCGTGAAACTTGTGCTCAAGCATTTGGATCTCTTATAAAGCTTATATCTAATAATAATATAACTGATTTAGTGGACAATCAAATCTCAGATAATACAAAAACAGGAACTATTAAAGGATCAGATAATACAATTATTACGGGATTTTTATCTGTTTTACTAAAACTTTTAGAACATGATGAATGGGAGGCACGGCATGGAGCTCTTCTTGCTCTTAAATACCTTTTCATTGTTCGGAGGGACTTACTTAAAAATACATTACCTGTAGCCTTTCCACTCATTTTACAGTGTTTATCAGACTCAGTAGAGGATGTAGGTGCTACAGCAGCCAGTGCTCTCAGTCCTGTGGCACAAGATTTACCATGGTTATTAAGTTCTGCACAATTGCAGTCAATTAATTGTATACTTTGGGAACTGCTCGAACAACAGGATGATTTAACAGCTGCTTGCAATAGCTTCATGGGATTATTGGCTGCTATACTTTCATTGCCAACTGCAAGAGAATTTTTGGCTCCACAGCCATTGTCATTGGTAAGTTAACGAGTTAGAACAACAATCATTTAATTGTATTTACAAATTTACAAATGTGATTTTAATTAATTCTCATCCGAGATTCTTATTCATACTTTTTAAGATGTATGGGTTCATACATAAAAATATTTTTATCTGAATAAAAGGATGGGCCGTGGGGGCTTGTGAGTCAACGTCTTTGTCTTTGGGGTTGGCCTTGTGTCACTTACTGTGACAACGGATTGTCATATTAAATTAAATTTTTTTATTTGGTATTTTTAAATCTGTATGCTCGAGAACTAATAATTCGAGGCACCATTCATTCTTACTGCTCTGACGGCAGAGTACACGTTACACCGCAGAGCCAGGCACCGTTTCCCTTGCGCTCAGATGACACCCCGGCTGAAAAATAAATATAAAACCTTATAAAAAAAAATTGTTTATCACCTTTACATGTGTATTTGCACCCGGAAATAACGATAGGAACTTATAAGACTATTAAACTTACATATTTGTATTAGTTTTATTTCATAACCATTTTAAAAGTGTTGTCATATTTTATCAGAGATATTGCATAAATTGAAAAACATACAAGAAAAAGTATTATAGCGTGCCATAGGATCTGATAAATATGCTTGACCTATAAGTCTATATGATAAATTTGAAATAGATTTTGTTTAACAAAGTGACATATCAGAATGTATAAAATTATGTGATTGCATTCTCAAGATTCATTTTCCATTTATTGTATGATAATCTATCATAGTTTTTAATGTTCGTGGGGCAAGAGCCTTTTGCTCTTCTTGAGCTTTAGCGGACTTAGGAGAGGAGGAAGGCTTAAATAAAACAAGCGACTTAGTAACAAGAGTAGTTTTAACTTATATTTGGCTCACAACCTACTTGGCGAACTTACATCAGAGATTAGTAGAGAGATTGCTGACTGCAATGCTACGGCGCGAGTTCACTTTTGGCCACTGTTTCGAGCGCCCCGTCGCGGCCAAGCGGTCGAACCAGGCACACATATTTTTTTTTTTATTTGAGAAGCGTGGAGGGGGTATACCGAGTGTGTGCCTACAGATTCGCGTGGAAATGGGCATGTAGGCACATACTTCGGAGACGCGTGGAAGGGGTATACTGAATATGTGCCTACGGAGAGAGGAGTGGTGTGCATGGAAATGCCGACTACAGCTATATAACTATATATACCCGCGTATATCATAGCGAAAGAAAGCAACGAGTCTTTCTCGCTATATACTTATACTTACTAACTTCTTAAATAAGGTCTTAGAAATTAAGGGGAAATAGAGAAGAAAAAAAGATTTCACATCTAATATTTGTAAAATAAAAAAACCTATTTTAATTTACAATTCTCTATAACATATGAAAGTTTAAGAGAGGCTAGCCATATTATTTTTCGAAAATTAAATCATACAAATAAATGTTTACG